GGCATATCTTGGTATGACTAAGAAAATACATCAACAAATTCACTAAGCAAGTTAATTAGCTCTTTGCGTTCGTCAGGACTTAGTGTTAATCCAATTTTAACCTCTCTGAGAGTAGTGTCATTGGAAATATTAACTGTTTCCGTGTCTTCAATTATTACAGTTTTATTATCATGTTCTTCCATTGCTTTTATTATCTTTTTTTCATTTTTATCATTAGCAAAGCAATATTGATCAGGGTTAGGGGAATGGCGCGCATCATTAGCAAAGGTACTCATTTCGTTGAATTCATTAAGCATTACATCAAAGCGCATTACATCAAAGAGGGCAAGGTCAGCTGCGACCTCACCGGAATTATTTGGGATAGATGGAGGAGACTCGACAAGAGACTCGACACTAGGAGGAACTATAGAAAGGGACTCAATAACAGATAGGGGTTTAGCCTTAGATCCTACAGGCTCACAAATAGACTCAAACTCAGACTCGGACGATTCAGATTCATCAAACATAAAGCCCTCGCCAGTGGTGACTTCTAGTTTCTCTCCGCTTGGCGTAGTGATCTTCACAGTCTTGCGCCAATCCTTCAAAACACTAAAACAATGAGCTCACAGGGGTCAAAATCCTTGTTTGACATGACAGCTTGAATGAGCGCAGAGTTATCATTGTCGATGCGCTTGGGTTCATTCTTTTCGAGCCCAAAGAGAAGATTAATAGCCATATCACCAGGGCCTGGACTAGTTGGTTCCCCAGCTGTTGGGAACATATCACCTTCATCAACGAAGTCACAGTCCATGAACACCTCAAATCCTGGCTCACGCCTCCCATTGTAGATGAGAGGTTCAGGAAATTCATAGCATGGAAAATCCTCCCCTTCCTTGATGTATTTAACCATTGAGAGTGAAGGGATAGGGATCCATAGGCATCTCTGCATTCATGGCACGAGCTGTGTTGCGAGCAACCATCTTGAGCACAGCTTGCTTCATATCTTCTTTTGTTGGCTTGAATCCCAAGCCAAAGGTGTCTTTCTTGGGTGCACCAAGATAGCCCCAAAGTTCAGCCATTTTCTTCTTAATTCCAAGGGGTCATTCCAGGGAAATGCCCTTGTTTCTTTATGATTGCATTGATATTGACATTGGAATAAGGATCGAAGTCGATATGACATTTCTCTTCCTCCTCGATCATGAGAACATCTTCCAGATAAAAGCCCCAAAGATTCTCATCTTCATCATCGTGTTCAACATGGACAATGGGGGTTTCGATGACTTGGATACGCATAGGAGAGACATCAATGGTGATTGGAATCCCTCCGACTATAGCTTTGACTTTTTGGTGCAGCAATGAAGGGATCACCTTTAACTCATGAAGCCAAGGGCGCCCTAACAATAGATTGAAAGAAGCCTTAATGTCCACCACTTGAAACTTGGTACGACGTTCAAGACTGCCATGACACGGCAGCAATTACCGTGTCACGGTACATGCAGCTTGCCGCGTGACGGTAAAATGTAACGTGACACGACAATTGTGTCGTGGCGCGGCAGTCAAGAAATCTGACTAGTGTCTTTGTTTTTTCATTCAAGAATAGGTTATTCGATTTTCCCTACGAGGCGAACCTAAATACGACGTTAAAACGTCAATGCATATGCAAAAATGCCAAATTAATCACAGGATTACGATTCAAGAATCTTTCAAGTCTCATCCACTCATCTCAATAAATATCGATCACCCAAATCGATAAATAACCAAGAATCCTCCCAGTGGAGTCGCCAAATTTTTTTATTCACCTTAAAAAAAATGTGTGCAAAAAGAATTAGAGTTTTTTTATTAGGGGACAAAGGGAGTATTATTTTTCTGTCATTTTCTTAATATTTTCCTTCTGCGAAAATGATTCACAAGTCTTGTTGCGATAGCGGCTCTTCTTATTTCAGCAGGTAATTAAAGCAACAAAATCTATGCAAAAATTCACCACCCAAAACTAAACAACAGGTCGATACTGTTGTACAGAGGATGAGTAAAAATACAAAAGCTCTCCTTTTTCTGTTATCATATAGCAAATTCAATATATAATGTTGTAAGAGTAAGTTACCATTCTTGAGGGTCTTGATCCAGATCTTGATGGTGTTGCATTGTTTGCCTGAAAACAAAGCAGAAGCATTCAGCACATTAATAATACGCAACCAGATGCGCGCCCTTGTGTGCGTGCATGTGTGTGTATATTGAATACTTTTGAACCCTTAGTTAGAAAGTAAGATAGCAAAAAAAAAAAAAAAAAAAAAAAAAATAAAACGGAAGGTCTTCCAGCATGAAAGTGCCAAGAATTAGAAAATTGAAAAGATGATATCATTTTGTTATATTATTTAGGGACGAGAGGGAAAAAAATCAGAAGTCTTTCACAAAAGACTGCTAACAACTGGAAACTTGAGAAATAACTAACGATAAAAATATGATTTATCACGGAATTTTGATACAATCTTCAAGCATCAAGACTACGAGTGGCATGATCTGTACCAAAAGAGAGAGAGAGAGAGAGAGAAAAAAAAAAACCTAAACAAAAACATCAAATTTTTTCCATGATTACTCTCCTCTATAAATAGAATTTATGGTTTCCTCTCCCTCTCCCCCCTCTAAGGAATCTGGCTAACTCTCTACCTTTTCCCTTTTGCGCTTCTCTTACAGTATTACAGTGCTATATCCCCATGGTACCCATCCCTTTAGCCAGTTCACTAAAGAGAGAAACACCGCAGTTCTACATGATAACGTGCTATAAGTTCATCTAAAAGTTAGCGCATCAAATACATGGATGGTGGCTGCTCGTTGCAATAATCTTTTTCCCCCCATTTCTATACAGCTCGCTAAAATATAGCTGTCTTGCATTGCTTGATTCCTGTTATTAGAGAGAAGCACATAAAGTATTTTAAGTATGATAAGGCAGTGAGGGTACGATCTCCCTTACTTGAATGCCTTGAAAATGATTTACTGACAAATAACCTTGAAGATCACCAACTAACCCTTGTGCCAATGACATATGGATAATTAGAATTATTGACATTTGCACTACCTCAAAAGGTTTTTAAAAATTGACATGGCCTTTTACATTAAAATCAAAGTTAGAAGGATGAACTTTTGTCAAAATAAAGAAGCTAGTGACAGTACTAGGCATACCTCATCAAATTTCATAAAGTTCTGAGTATCCAGCTCCCCATTAACTTGTGGCTTATAAGCTGCCTCCATCTCATATAATTTATCCCACTCAACATCTTTAAACGAAGCATGTGCCTGAAAATGCTTATTAGCTTTAGAGAATAAAAAAAAAAAGCTGTAGGTCGAAGATAAAGATATTTACTCCGTCACTAGGTTATAACCAGTATCACACCTTAATTTGCTCTGCCCCTCCAGTGCCTAATTGATGATCCACGTCACAAAGCAACTTACAAATAAGATCTTTTGCCTCAAATGTCAACTTTGCATCCTCGGGAAATTTTAGATAGTGCCTCCAGTGTACTATCTATCACACATGTTCAGAGATTGCATTAGGTAGAAAAAAGCAGTGCCCTACTCATACTGACCAGATAACAATGAATTCGCTAAGTGGGATTATCTACGTGCATATGTGGTGCATTTACCCATTAAGTTAAACATGTATTCAGGATTTTCTAGAGCTTGGCAGATGAAAAAAGCATTATCAGCTATGGGGTAGTTAACAATGATCTATAGTCCTTTCGACACATCTAAAACAAAAGTAAAGCATACCTTTCTGGATGTCGTTATTTTATTATCAGAGTAAAAGGGAGGATGACCAACTAGCATTTGGTACATGATTGCACCTAATGACCACCTGCATAGAATCTTGACAGATAAGCATGGTGGACAAACAAAAGCAGACCAAATAAGATAAATTCTTCATTTAGCAAATACCAACCGTATCAAACAGTCCATAGGTATACTATATAGAGATAAACATTAGGTCGATGAATTAACAGAATTAATGAGGCAGTCAGAAGAGTATTGACAGTAGAAACACTACACATCATAGCCATTTGAAGTCAGCTCAATCAGTTCCAGCAAAGAAATAGGCTTCGTTCTGGAATTCAGCCAGAGCAGGATAGCTAGAGCATGCACATTATGTAGGCTGTGGGCATCTGCAGCTTCAATCTCACAAGTCACAGGTAATTAAATTCGCTATGGTTTTTAACCAATTATTCCAGACTTCTTTTCACATTTAATTTACCCTTCTATCCTGCATAATTTGCATTTAGGAGATTGAGCCCCATGAATGAGAGATCTACATGCTAAAGCTTGAAAACTTGGACTCTTTTGATTGCTAAAAAATTCAGAAGACGTATAGACATACAACTAGATAATTCAGTACTCCCAACATACAAGCATCATTATTGGAGAGGAAAATAAGGACTAAATCTTCGTTAATATACGGGGCACGTGGGAGAGAGAGGACTTTTTTAGTTATTGACTTTCTTTTTTATTGTTCTAGTTGACCCATGTTTTTTTTTACATAAAGGTACGTAAATTTTTCATGGAAATAACGTAATCTAGGTATGCCGCAGACCCGAAAAATTGTGGCGGTGACATAATCATAATATACAAAACTAGAGTATTGATTTTAAACAAATGAGCAGTTGGCAACGCAACATAGTCCTAGGAACTCTAGTCTAAATACCAAGTAATGCTTATCACGTGTTTGAAACTTCAATGAATTACGTCATATCATAAACACTCAAGATAATTACAATGTAGTAGTATTTTAATGCAACCATCCCAAACATCTTATGAATTAAATGATAAAGCATACCAGTCACATTCCATTCCATATCCTTTCTTCAGTAAAACTTCAGGAGCAATATAATCAGGTGTACCCACAATTGAAAATGCCTGTTAAATTTCACCCAAAAAAACAAAACTAAAAAAGGTAAGAAGCTAGCATTAATTTGCAAGGCAAAGGAGATTTATTATTTCAACTATGCTTAAACATTTGACAGTAGCAAGTAAACTCAGTCACTCACATCAGCCACATCAGCACTCTGCCTTTCAATTATCGATGCAACAAGAGTGTACCAGTAGATTATAGATTAGCTTCCAGACATTCAACTGAGCAATATATTAATTGACTAATTAAGATTCTAAAGCCATTAAGTATGAACATCTGCTTTACAGAGAGAAAAATATGAACTTAATGTAGGATATGACCCTATTTAGATAAACAATTGCATGCCTTAGCCTCCAAGCATAGAGGCTCCTTGCATTTGTTTTGGAACCCAAAAAAAAAAAAAAAAAACACATTTTACTTCACTTTTCTAAGTAGAAGCATGCTCAAAGCAACCCTCAAGAATTTTCTAAGTCATAGAGCATCAGCTCAAGAAGATCGTATAAATCTATGCAGAAAGAAAAACTGCATTTTTCATATTAGTTTTGCAATGACTCACTATAGATAAAAAGAATTTCAGCATTTACTATTTGGAAGTCGGAGCCTACTGGCCACTGCATATGACCTTTTACTATTGGTTACAGGAAGATTGATAACATTCATAATTGATATGGAACTACTCCATTGCACTAATAAAAAAAATATAGAAACTATTCCTCAAGAATTAAGCAACCACCTTCAGAATATCCCTGGAAATGGATGCACATAGCTTACCAAGCTTCTCCTATTCCTTTGCCAGTGCTGAAGTTGCTCACGAGCACTTCTCCAACTGTGACCATTACCAGCATCAGGAAGGGTAGCATCTATATCCATTGAATCTCTAGAAGAGTCATCCATGGATTCGTTTTCATTGATAGTAGACAATGTTGCACAATCAAGAGGTTTACAGAGGCCAAAATCTGAAAGTTTCATATGACCGCTCTTATCAAGAAGAAGGTTGTCAGGTTTGATATCCCTGGATAAAGAGTTCAGTAAAAATAACCTCAGCAGCTGCTCACAAATTAATAGAGGATACAAGCATTAAAATCGATTATCAATAATGATGATGATGATTTATGAGCTTCACAACTCAGAAAATGATGCAATTCAAACCTGTGGATATAGTTGTGCTTGTGAATAGATTCTACTGCCAAGACACTCTGTGCTATGTAAAATTTTGCAACCTTTTCAGTTAAGATATCCTCCCTCATCAGAAGGGTCATCATGTCACCGCCTGAAAGATATTCCATAATCAGATACAAATGTTCAGCATCTTGAAAGGAGTAATACAGTTTTACAATGCAGTGACTGTCAACTTCTGCAACCAAGTTCCTTTCAGCTCTAACATGTTCCGCCTGGAAAAGAAGAAGAATTTGAGATGAAACAAACTTCTCTACAAGGCCATTAAGTGAGAATTCACACTACAGAGGCAAAAAAAATCTGGATTCTCATGGTAAAAGTATAGCTTTGACAGAGGTGATTCAGTTAAAAAAGTCATGAATAAGACAATGATATCCCCGCAAGGAAAACACAGAGCATGATGCGTGAACAGAGAAAAGATGACATGTTAAAAAGAACAAATTACACATCAGTAATATCAGTAGATGAAACTAATTCTTTGCCATGATACAGAGTCCACGCAAAAACAATTGGAGGTAAGAACTGGTGATAGATGAGGATAGTGGCAGCCACCACAAGCTGTTATTTCCAGTGTTACAAGGCTATTGTGCTCATCAGTTTTTTCAATAGCCCCACTAAACAAATGAAGAGATTCAGACATTAGCACCATTCACAGAAGCAGAGACAGCCTCAATATCCCATTGACGAATATGGAACACTTGTAGGAGATTAGGGGGAAAAAATCACAATTTTTGCATATCTAGATGATGTGTTGATGAGATCAAGTAGTACAAGTGTACAACATACACAACATGAACCAACTAATTAGCTCAAATATACGTCGCCGGCTACAGAATATTCCTAATTCTAGGATAAACTTAACTTTATGGACTTGCATCAAAAATCAACATATGTAAAATAGTACCTGTCCTTTACTAAGCATTTCAGATTTCTTCAATTTTTTCATGGCATATATATTTCCAGATTTCTTTTCCCGGCACAGTTGGACCTGCAGAATGAAAATTTAAAACAATATGAACAAAGCCTGTTTTGGGGGTTTTTTATGTGTCCTTCGGGAGAGTTACAATTTCCTAGAATGCTCCTTCCTTCGCCGGTACCTGCACAAATAACGGAATACTCCGGCTGGAGCTGGGGTGTTCCGCCTCCGAAGATTAAGTTAGTCTCTTTCTAAATATGGAAATAAGACAATAAATGCTTCTCGATTTGAGAGCGTTTTGCAAGGGGATTTGTGTTTTGTTGGTTGTTGGGAAATTAATTCGATCCCCATAAATGAGGTCTGCCCTTACTATTTATAGTAGGGAAGAGCTGTACCTCAATTAGGGTTCAATGACACGTGTCGCAAAGGGATTGGGCCTTTGCTGACCGTTGCAAGCTTGACACGTGGCAGTCCTTTATTGGGCCACGTGTCTTAGGGTTTTTTTACCCTAAATATCTGCCCCTCACAGGTGTGACGTGGAATATCCACGTGTCACCTGTGACAAGTGTCAGACGCATGGGAGGAGACGGTTCGTCTTCTTCCCTCCTTTTTTCAAATTTCAAGTTTTTAGGGCAGAAGGCATCGTTTCGCCTTCTGCTCCTTCTCTATAAATACATAACACTCTCTCTCTTCTCCACACTTTACACATTTCTTCAAAAATTTTCGGAGAGCGCTCTGATACCGGCTGCACTATTTCCCAAGTTTTTCTTGCATCCGGCGACCGGTTGGGCTCTTTTTCTCCACTCTAAGGTACGGGCTGCCCTTTGCTCTTTTTTTTTTTTTTTTTTTTTTTTTTTTTTTTTTTTTACTTTTTGCTTTTGATGATTTTGAACGTTTAACCCCATCCGGGTTGCATGCCGCCTGGGGGGCCCTTAACCCATATCCCATTGCTGGATCTTCTCCCCCAGCCGGCATAGCACCGCCTGGGAGTCTTCAACATTTAAGCATTATGCAAATTAACACCCCCATCCGGTTTTAACACTAGGATTTTTTTACGAATTTCCATTAAGTGATTTCGAAAAAACCCCAACCGGTTATGAAGCCGGTTGGGTCATCATTCGTGCCTCCGCATCTTTCAAGGAATTTATTTAAGATGCATTCAGTATACCCCCATCCGGCATACAACCGGATGGGGGTTGTTTGAGCAATCTAGTTTCTCAAACATCGTTCACATAGCCCCCATCCGGTATTTAACCGTATGGGGGTTGTTTGAGCAACATTTGCTTTTTCTCAAACATCGTTTAAAATGCCCCCATCCGGTTTTTAACCGTATGGGGGTTGTTTGAGCAGCCTTTGCTTTTTCCCAAACAATATTTAAATTGCCCCCATCCGGTTTTTAACCGTATGGGGGTTGTTTGAGCAGCCTCAGCTTCTTCTCAAACGGTATTTAAAATGCCCCCATCCGGTTTTTAACCGTATGGGGGTTGTTTGAGCAGCCTCAGCTTCTTCTCAAACATCGTTTAAATAGCCCCCATCCGGCATTTAACCGTATGGGGGTTGTTTGAGCAGCCTTTGCTTTTTCCCAAACAATATTTAAATTGCCCCCATCCGGTTTTTAACCGTATGGGGGTTGTTTGAGCAGCCTCAGCTTCTTCTCAAACGGTATTTAAAATGCCCCCATCCGGTTTTTAACCGTATGGGGGTTGTTTGAGCAGCCTCAGCTCTTCTCAAACATCGTTTAAATAGCCCCCATCCGGCATTTAACCGTATGGGGGTTGTTTGAGCAGCCTTTGCTTTTTCCCAAACAATATTTAAATTGCCCCCATCCGGTTTTTAACCGTATGGGGGTTGTTTGAGCAGCCTTAGCTTTTTCTCAAACATCGTTTAAAATGCCCCCATCCGGTTTTTAACCGTATGGGGGTTGTTTGAGCAGCCTCAGCTTCTTCTCAAACATCGTTTAAATAGCCCCCATCCGGCATTTAACCGTATGGGGGTTGTTTGAGCAGCCTTTGCTTTTTCCCAAACAATATTTAAATTGCCCCCATCCGGTTTTTAACCGTATGGGGGTTGTTTGAGCAGCCTTAGCTTTTTCTCAAACATCGTTTAAAATGCCCCCATCCGGTTTTTAACCGTATGGGGGTTGTTTGAGCAGCCTCAGCTTCTTCTCAAACGGTATATAAATTTCCCCCATCCGGTTTTTAACCGTATGGGGGTTGTTTGAGCAGCCTCAGCTTCTTCTCAAACGGTTAAATAAACCCCATCCGATATTTAACCGCATGGGGGTGGTTTGAGCAGCCTTGGCTTTTTCTCAAACATTTAAATACACCCCATCCGGTTTTAACCGCATGGGGGTCTTTTGAATGAGTCCATTTAATATATCTGACCCTTTTTCTTCATTTCAGCTTCAAACTCATTTGGAGATTTCCGCCTGTGTAGGTTTCAAGCCATCCTTTTAGACAAATCTCAATTTTCAAAGGTACCGCCTGCATTTTATACTTGTCACTTTCTTTTATTTCCGGTTGCATAGCATTAGGATATGGACTTCACCAATGCACACACGGCACAGCCTACGACCGTGGTCAGCCGGTCACCTGGGACGGCTGAGTCTAGGACTGGGATTGCCGTCTGGGGGTGCTTGGAACAACCTTCTCCTACATCGAATCCGACCGTCTCTGTTCATGTGCAGGACAGAATGGCTCGGATCAGAGTGACGGCAATCGACCCTGACTATCAGTCTGATGATGCAGTCGCTGATCCGGCTGACCCTATAAATCAAGAACAAGCCGAGGAACCGGCTGAGGTGGGTCCTAATGAGGAAGTTCTGCAAAATTCTCCAAGTATACCTAGCACCCCGGGTGACAGTATCTTGGATAACTCTGGTTCCGGCGGAGAGGAATCCGGAGAGGCGTCTGGAGAAAGATCAGGTGATAATGGGGAGTCCGGCCCTGGCCCGAATGAAGAGTCTTCTGCAGAGGCGGCTCTTGTTGAAGAAGAGGCCTACAAATGGCCGGCTAAGGGTGACCCGACTGATATGACCATGTCCGCCAGGGATGTGGTCACTTTGAACGCCACACTCCCTGCTTTTTTGCAGAAAAAGCCGGTTGGAGAGGGATGGGAAGTGGTCGTCTCGCCTGCGGAGGCAAGTGTCGTTTGGACAGACGACATTGAACATGCCGACAACTTCTTCGGCTGCTATGAGGCGGCGTTTTCAGCAGGCCTCCGGTTCCCCCTTCATCACTGCATAAAAGCCATACTGAAGGGGTATGACTTAGGCGTATGGCAGTTGACCCCTAATTCATGGGTCAACATTCTTGGATATATAGCAGCCTGTGAACTGCAGGGTGTCAAGCCAAGCTGGCAGGCATTTGCGCACATGCACTATTTAAGCAGAGCGCCGGGTGGGTGGAATGCGTGGTACACTCTCACCACGCTTCCTGAGTACATGATGACTTTGGACAAGCCGTCCAAGTGGAGTAACTGGAAGAGTAAATTTTATGTAGTCTCTTCCCCCTCCCTCCAACTCAACCGCCGGCTGCGTAGATACAATAAGCACCCGGTCTTAATGGGTAGGAAATGCGCTCTCCCTAGAGTACCGGGAGAGGCATGGGACCAAATAATGGAGAAAGTTCTCTTTCTGAAGACAACCGCCCCACTAGATGACGGGGGTGAGATCGTAGTTCCCAAATTTTGGGTGCCTCATCCGGACTGGTTTAAGGATGAGGGTTTTTTGTCTCTTTGTAACTTGAGCACTATGTTCAGCAAGGGTAGGTTTACTAATTTATCAATTTTTTCCCTGATGGGTATGCTTTGTTCTCTAACCATGTTTACTCTTCTGGTTTTGCAGAAGAAGCGATAAGAATGGTGCCGCCAGAGAAGACTCCTGCTACCCCTGCCATCCTCTTGAGGAAGAAGCAGCTTGAGGCAAAGAGGGCGGCGATGGCCGCCAAAAATACCGGGGTAGTCTTTTCTGAACCATTTTTGTTTTTGCCGGATGCACTTTTTCCTTGCTACGAGGTTTTTACCGGATGCATCCTATTGTGACTGTTTTCAGGCTGGGAGCCAAGTCATACCTCGCTCTATAGCGAGTATGCAAAAACGTCCGGCTGGGAACATTCCCAAGCCAGCCGCCAAAGTTCCTAGGGTGGCGGCTTCTGACCCGGCTGCAAGCCAGAAACGAAAAAACGCCTGACAAAGACAGGCCAACAACTGCAGGGAAGAGCCTGCAATTCACTCCCCACTTTGAAATGGTGGCGGAGTGATTAAGACCGGATGCTCATACTATGACGGGCTCCGGTTCTTTAGCGGCTGGGGGGGCTTTAACCCCACAGTCCGAGAGAGGTAACACTTCTGCCTTCGATCCCCCCTGGCCGCTTGGTCATATGAGGGTAAAGACCCAAGCAAGCCAATCCGGGGACTCTTCTGGACACCGCCTGAATATTGGCGAGGCTTATGCCCACTACCTTACAGCTGATTCTATGATTGCAGATACAACCTCCAGCCGTCCAAACTACCAGCAGTATGCTAAGAGGATGGTCAAGACCATCACTCGGTCTGAGAGAGAATCTGTGCCGGCTGTGCACACGGTTAATCTTGACCGGATCACTTCTCTCCTTGCTGAGGTACATAAACCGGATGACCTATGCTTTAACAGATGCAAGGACTTTATTTTTGATCTTTCTAACACTTTTACCGGTTGATATTGCAGAAACTGCTGAGGGTTGACGGGCTTAGCGTCCCTCTTCGCAAGAAGCAAGAGGAGGTAAGAGACGCTTTGAAGCGCGCATCTGAGCTTATTGACGTTTGCCAATTCAATGCCATTTCATATGACTTGGAAACTGAACAACGAAAGTTGCAACAGGAGGAACTGCTGAAGAAGGCGGCTGAGGCTGGAGAGGCGGCCTTGAAGAGAGTTGATGAGCTTGAGCTCCAGGTCAAAAATCTTCAAGCTGACCTTAAAGTACTGGAGAATGCTGATAAGGAAAATGTCAATCTCCGGAAGGACAACAGCCGGCTGGTGACTAAACTTGCTAACAATCAGGCGGCTCATAAGAAAGAGCTGGAAGAGGAACAACTCCTCCTGATTGCTGAGAATGAGGCCGACTGCGAAGAACGAATGAAGCTCGCTTGGGGCCTGCTCCACCCGGACCTTGAGTACGAATACTGGAATCTTCTATACCAGTATGCCTCTGAAGCTTACGAGGCCAAAGCGCTCGGAACTGACGCCCCTCCCGCTTTCGACGAGTGGGTTGAGAGCAACAACGTGATTCAGCCGGATGATGCTATTCAAGATGCCCCGGATGGGGATCAACAAGCGATGGAGCAATCAGGCGAAGTTCCAGTCGATGCGGGGGATCAACAAGTGATGGAGCAATCGGCCGAAATTCCAGTCGATGCAGTCCAGCAGCCGGATCCTCAACAGCAACCATAAACAATTTTCTATCTTCTTTTCCGGCCTGCGAGCCGAGTAGTTTTTGATGTATCTTTGCCGGATGGGGGTCCGGTTAACATTACATTTGATACTTGAAATCTTAATCTACTGACCGACACAGTCGGTTTTGATATTCTGTCTTTACATTTGAATATATATATATTTTTGTTTATTTTTATTATTTACTCATCCGGTTAGCTTTTTTGAAAAAGCCGGATGAGGTAACGATATGCCTTTGAAATGGCCATCTGTTTATTCCAACGGTAATCAGGCAGCCGTTTCACGGCAGCCGGATGGGTGATCAGTGACTGATCTAACCTTGCCCCGGCTGGTACATTAATATGCCCCCGGAATGGCCATCTGTTTACTCCAACGGTAAACAGGCAGCCGTTTCACGGCAGCCGGATGGGTGATCAGTGACTGATCTAACCTTGCCCCGGCTGGTACAATAATATGCCCCTGAAATGGCCATCTGTTTACTCCTAACGATAAACAGGCAGCCGTTTCACGGCAGCCGGATGGGTGATCAGTGACTGATCTAACCTTGCCCCGGCTGGCATACCTGGATACGATGGATCACTTCTGACGGCTGTTCATTCTATAAGAAAATGCCGTCTGAGTTATTGGATCGCTAGAACAATGTACCACCCGAAAGGGAGATGTTCTCTTCAACGATATCACCCGGATGGGTGTCGTTGGATGACTGCTCTTTTTGGAGCAGTGGTTTTTAACAAGTGTTCTTCCGTCTGTGATTTTTCACTAGACAGGTGCAAATACATTTGTATGAATGGAAATTATATGCTTTCTCATTTCAATACTATGCAAAAAATTACAACATCCTTAGAAGTAGTACTTTTTCAAGTTATCTACATTCCAGGTACGAGGCAGCCGCATTCCGTCTGGGGTTTCCAGGCGGTATGTGCCGTTTCTAACTTCTTCAAAAATTCGGTAGGGTCCTTCCCAGTTTGGGGTCAGTTTCCCTTGCTCGTTTGCCCTACCGGTTGCTTCAAGCTTTCGTAAAACAAAATCTCCAATCTTGAGGGGGCGTTTACGCACCCTTCTGTTGTAGGCCCTCGTCATTCGCAGACGGTAGATTTCATGACGCAAGGCGGCG